GGAGTTTTGATTTCCGTGACTAAATTTAAAAACAACAAAGCGCCATTTACATCACACCAATCATTTGTCATATACTACAATTGGTTGTACGATCTTACTTGTTGCTGTATGACCGCCATTGGGATAAAAATTGAAATTTGGAAGAGCAAATTCGTGCGTACACTGTTTATGTATTTGCATACACTGTTTTTTTGTATGTATGGGCGAAAACTTTAAAATAAAATAATAAAATAAATACATGCCGCCATTTTGCATACTATAACAACTGCAGTTACCATAGTTACCAGACTATGCGCTCGCATTAGTTTTAGATTTCTACGGAAGGCGTCTACATTTGTATGGAAGGCATGCATAAAATTTCTACGGAAGGCGTCTACATTTGTATATGGAAAGCATGCATGTATAACATTTGTATGGAAGGCATCTACATTTGTACGGAAGAAGTCTACATGCATTTGTACGGAAAGCGTCCATATTTCTGCGGAAGTCGTCTGAATTTTGTACGGAAACGCCGCACATTTATACAGAAACGCTCTGTTATTAAGGAAAACTACTTCAAGTACACAGAACGAATGTGATTTTCTACGGAACAAGCGTGTCCCTAACGGGCCACCGTACAAAGGTCGTAGCTAGGTTCGATTCTCACCGTGGCCCAGGCATATTTTTCAAGTTTGACTGGTGTAGTCTGTGTGGACATACTATACACTCAAAATAACATCAGAAGCATGCTTTATCAAGTTTTGTCAAACAAGTTTAATATTCAAAATATGAATTGTTGATTTTAACTAATACTTGACGACATTGATATGAAATAGAAATAATTCAATATAAATCTCGCGCGCACAATTTCAAATTTTAGCAGCCACAACAGGCCAAAAGCCACAAGATAAAATGAGTAAATAGGATCGATGGACGTTATAATTATATTATATAAACAGTAATATTTCATACCTGAGATCAATAAGCCTTTGTCAGGTTTCAGAGTCACTGATCCAATAAGAAATATAGCTTTTCCTCGTGATTTTCTTCAGCGAAATGTATTCAAACGTAAAAGTCGAAAATTTGCAAATCACACTATTCCACTGATATACACTAAGACTGGATAGAGCATCGTAATAGAAGGCCCAATCGAAAAGTGAAGCCGGTTTGAAGCCGGAAGTACGTCATGTATTGAGACCGTGCGCCATGTTGAATGGGCCCACTTGAGGAGTGAAAGACTATAGATTCTATTGTAAAACTGACATTTTTCGGAGTTGTCGCCTTATACTCGCTAAGTATGCGAAGAAATCAAGTCAAATCTGGTGTTTCAAGAACAAGCACACATCATAGAGGAATGAAGAGCATTCGAATTAATGTTGAAAGAAACTAAATCGCAGGTAAATAATTTGATATTTTCACCCACTGGTTTTGATCGTCGAAATATCAGATCCGACCGAACGTCAGAACACAGTATAAAATAGTCAGTTACTACCGTACTAAAACAATTACTTAAGTTTTTGAGTGACTAGGTAGGTTTTAAGAGGCATAACATGACCATAGTGTGCAGTTAAAATCTAATTGACATTTTAGGCTTTAGCTAGCAAATTTGTTCCAATAGACTAACTGACCATGGTGCTTTCCATGTAAGCCATACGCCGGAGATACGCCAACAGATGCGATAGTTCACGCCAATACAATGGAGATTTTAACTTTGGGGATCAAAATCCATGTTAAAATGGCTAACCTGGCATGTTTTATACTGTTAACATCATATATTTCTTGAAGTTATACTCAGTGAATACAGATACTGTATGACAATCAATTCAGGCACAAACTTACTGTAGTTACACTTATCACTTCTTTCCAACTGATCTCACGCCAATACACCAGCAATTTTGTAACCTCACGCCGGATATATCTGGCGTGGAGGGAATGGAATGTGCACTGAGGCCATCTATTTCGGTTTGGAGGTTTCATGCAGGGTGGCTGAGTTGTAGCATGGATAATAAAATAAATGGATAGGAGACTATAGCTGACGTGACCTAGTGTTTTCAATGGGCTGTGGAAACCTATAGTTGCGAACCAAATTCTCAAAAACGGCATGTTTAGCAATTATAATACAGCTAAACATTTTAGTCAAAGAGCAGATAAATATAACTACGCCATTCTATGATGAAATCTCTGATTATTTCCAGTCAATTTTAGCAAATATTTCAGGCACTAAACAGTGAAAACTGCATCCCAAATTTTATTAAAATTGGGTACGTCAATTTCGTAGCTACAAATGTAAAAAAAAATACAAAACAAAGACGAAAAACATTTACTTTGAATACTTTGCCGTGGCTTAGGCATTTTTTTAAAACAATTAGTCAGACCAGTTTATGCTTCAATATTACTCTTTAAAGCGGAAAATGTAGCGAAACAACAAAAAAGCCAAGAACTTTGACAACGCGTGACGTCACAGATTGCAACTAGGTTTAGACTGTGACGTAAGCTAGAGTCCTATCCATTTATTTTATTATCCATGGTTGTATAGATGAAACCAAACAAACAGATATTATTTGATGTATAGTATACTGTATTTGTTTCAAATGCGTAATGAAATGTGTACAATGTATGTATATTGTGGCCAAAGCCCTGAAAATTGATTTGAAAATATTCACTATAATTTTTGTATATTGTATTTCAGTTGTACTGAAGACTGTACAAATTCAACACAAGATTGTAAATGCTATGAAGCTTTGCCCATCAGTCATCGAGAGTACAACAGTCAATATGCACCTGTAGTTGTTGTGTTAGTTTATATTACATTAAAGATCTTTGCCAACTCGTGTTGTTGTCAATACCATCTGCATTTTTAAATTAATCTGCATTTCTACTATTTAAATAATGGAGAAATATTGTGGATTCAGAGTGTCGTGGTTTTATCTGGTCAAAATGAAGAAAATAAATTCATTTTGATACATGTCTCAAATCCCTGTTGGCCCTGGAGCTTTGTCCTCGTGAATTTTTAGCAGTTAGAAGCAAATTGCCTTCTGTCTTATTTCATGAGATTGAATACTTCCATGCCAAGGAAGTATTTCTGTATTTGTGTTAAAATTACCAAACAGGAAACAGGTGTATTGGGAGATGAGACCTAAAGGGGTAATATAGTGAAGGGAGTAAGTGTTGAGGAATCACTGAACAAATGTACATTTTCATGAACATTTTTGATTAGTAAGTAGTCGGTACTCGGTAGTCAAGACAATAAGCAAGTACGATAGTAATTAAATTTTCCAACTTTAATTTGAACAGTATTAGTATTCACAAGTTTATTTCTCAATGCAGCTCTGAGTACAATATCCTTGAATACAAATTGTCAAATAAGCTGCCAACTATTACATTGATTGGAGCATCGACTGCACAAACAGTCCACAAGGAAATCCACTATACCACGAGTGCTACAATGTTCTTGGCTGTTAAGTCCGCATTCTGTCTTCCCAACTCGTGCAATTAAAATATCAGGGTAATCAAATGTGCCTTCATTATTCACAGAACTTGATGACCACCACATGGGGTCATCCATTTTAATAGTTCAACTGTCTCAAATGCAAGGAAGTTAAACTTTTTTTACTTATCGTCTGCCACACACAAATTAATAAAAGTTTCATATATTAACTCAAATATAAAATTATCCCATCACGATTTAATTTTTGACAGCCATGACAAAGGTCATATTATTAATGCAAGACGTACCTGTTTTATTATACAGCACTCAGTAGTCAATATCGCCGTTAATTGTACCGCCTAACTTGTTCAGTTAGTCAAGCTACTTTCTACTTTGAATCAGCAGAATTCCTAACTAAATGATCCAATACTTGAATATGATCTAATCCTTGTCATTTTAGCCTGCATTGACGAGTCTGGCGTTCACATCTCATTATTACGAAGCAAAAATTCGATTTTCTCTGTGATTTCATGGTTAATTTAAAAACTTCAAATTTACTTCTTGAAGCATTCGTGTTATATATTCCTTTCCTGAAACAAGGTTTGTTTCGGTCTAAGAGAAGAAAATTAGCGTTTTAAAGCGAAAACTATACATTCTGTAATAGAAATCTATAGTACTCACTCCTCAAGTGGGGCCATTCAACATGGCGGCCGTCAGCTCACTGCATTTCACTTCCGGCTTTACTTCTGAACACCGGATGCTCTATCCAGTCTTAGTGTATATCAGTGCACTATTCACACATGACATTTGATAGACGATATCCCATAACTCAGTGCGCGCGTGGCCCTTGTCTTCTAAAATAGATACGTCAAAAAGAGCTTCCAATCTATCGCCAGCTTGAAACTGTGTAAAGCATTCATTAATCTGGCCAAAAAATGATCATAAAAACTGGTGAAAATTCTTATAAGCGAATATTTTTTTAAAAAAGCCAATTGCGATATAATAAGTTTTCGCATTGGCTGCATGAGATTGTATTTTCATACAATATTTATTAAATAGTGATTTGATTTTCGCCGGAGTGGCAATAAACAATACAACCGAGATATAGCCTCTCTCAAAATTAAATTGTCCATAATACATGTCATATTCTTGTTGGTGCACCAACAAAATTACATTAAATCATAAAGAATAAGTCCAGAGTAGAACACAACATGAAAACACACTACAATTCGGTGAAAATTTAGCGAAATTGCCAGAAATATTATTTGCACACTCATCGCGCAACCGCCATTTTGAAACTGAACTATATGTCACTGAAGCATACTTGCAAAATCACCCGTAGTATCCATAAAATACACCGATATAACTGTGAAATGTTCATTTTGTGACACCTAAAGACAGACAACTTGCATTTAAAGCTCCCTCAGGCTACGCCCGAAGGTGCAATAATAAATTCAATATTCATTATAGCATTAAACTGCGTGTTATCATTGGGTGGGTGTGTTGTGATATGGTTTTGTGGTGTGGTGGTTTGGGGCGGGGCGTTACAGTATGATACGGCACGGTATGGTATGGTGTATTGTTGTATGGGATAATGTCAAATTGCGAGGCCTATAATATTTTGGCTCTTTCAGATATTGACGAATGCTCTGAAGGAAACTTCAGTTGTCATCCAAATGCAACTTGTGTCAATAATAATGGCTCATACACCTGTCAATGTAAAAACGGACATGAGGGGGATGGAAAACAGAACTGCACAGGTACAAAGCTTTTTATGAAAACAATTCGTTATTTTCTATACATCTAAATATTTCTAATGTCTACTATCTTACAATTATTCAGATATTGATGAATGTTCTGAGGAGTGGAGAAACGAATGTCATTTGAATGCAAATTGTTCAAACACTCCAGGTTCATATGAATGCGAATGTCATGCTGGATATCATGGACATGGACGTACTTGCACAGGTATACTGTATTTCAGTAAAAGAACCACTAACTCTAAATATACATTTCTAATCAGTATATATAACCCACAGAAGTAAACCCAATAATATTTTGACCATTTCAGACATTGATGAATGCATTGGAGGAAACTTCATTTGTGATCTGAATGCAACTTGCAACAATACTCAGGGCTCATACAACTGCCAATGTAAAAGCGGATACGAGGGGGATGGAAAACAAAACTGCACAGGTATGAAGCTTCCCATGAAATCCATGTTTTTAAGTCCATCGTGAACAACACGACGAAAGCGAAATTCAATTTTCGTTGTATAGCATTAACCTGCACCTAATTTCTAAAGTTGATTTGTAGTGATATTTCTTCTTCTGATTGATGAGAACGAGTAGATGGGTTATGAATGTTCAGATAAAGATACACATACTCAAAACATTCATAACTCATCTACTCGTCTACATCTATCAGAAGTAGAAAATTGCACTACAATTCGCAGCAAAAATTGGAAGTGTAAGCAGGCCTTAAAACTAACCAACGATTACAGTTACGTATTCGATTAACCCTAACACAGAGTACTGAAAGCTAAACAATTTTGAACTATAATATTTTGGTTGCACAGGTATAAAGTTTTTTTGTGAAAACAATCCATAACTTTCTTTGATTCAGTCATTGTATATATCTAAAGATTTCTAAAGACCAAAATCGTACAATTACTTAGATATTGATGAATGTTCTGAGGAGTCGACTAACGAATGTCATTTGAATGCAACCTGCTCAAACACTCCAGGTTCGTATGAATGCGAATGTCGAGCTGGATATCACGGACATGGACGTAACTGCACAGGTATACTGCTTTTCAGTGAAAGAGCCACTGACTCCAAATATATATTTCTAATCAGTATATATAACCCACAGAATAAAGCTAATAATACTTTGACCATTTCAGACATTGATGAATGCACTGGAGGAAACTTCACTTGTGATTCGAATGCAACTTGCATCAATACTCAAGGCTCATACAACTGTCACTGTAAACACGGATACAAAGGGGATGGAAAACAGTACTGCATAGGTATAAGATTTTCTACAAAACAAATTTATTGTTCAATCATAGAAAACACGTAGCGAAATTCAATCTTCATTATAGCATTGACCTGCGCCTAACTTGAACAACTAATCGACCGTTACGGTTTCACACCTTGACGAATGCTCTGAATGAAACTTCACATGTCACTCAAATATCTGAATAGCTCTAAGACGAAATGTAATACATGTATATCATTGTAAGAAAAACCCTCATCTTCACCTTAATTACATTACAGAACACGTAGTTAGTATATGCAGATACCTGTAGAAAACTTTCTGCTGGGGTTTATAAAAAAATTTTTCAAGAAATATTGTGACATATATTATCCTTGAAGAAAGGACAATTATTATGCCATGCCTAAAAAAATTAATCTGGTCGACCAGAAACAACGATATCATCGCATTTAGCTACCACGGATAATCAACTATGTTCTACTTGTAAACATAAATAATGACCTGTGATGATGAGGATGTCAGTGTATTTTAGAAAAATTATAAGTGTATTATTATTCACGTTGGCGCTGAATATTTATGATTCCCGCGTACATTATTTGAGGACATGACCCACTCTAGCTTGGCTCATGTAAACAAAATAAATTATGACCCTGACACTGACAAAGTAGTACAATTTACTATTTGCAGTTGAAGCCATTTTTAACGTGATATGCGAATCAGTAAGATCTTATTTTCCTCATCTGTTGCATAGTTGACCATTGTGCACATCAACCATGTAACTCCAAGGAAAAATGTATCAGTGGATCTTCTTACGAGTGTATATGTCTCAATGGATATTTTGGACAACAGAAAACATGTTCAGGTATACATTAAATCATAGAGCTTCTTGTACCAGAGCCAACGTTGCGGAGCGCCGTTCCGAGCGTAAGCCCGGAGAGAGGGTATTAATTTCACCCGGCTATTTACAAACGAAAGGAAAGAATTAGCAAAGTATAAAGTTCAGCAATGATCGCGGGCGTGGGTTACAGTGCGAGTTTCGCTGGGTGGTCATCCTCACTGATCTCATAATATAGCAGACTGTCATGAATAGCGAACACTGATTGGTCCAATTTCAAATTAGCGTTATAACGACTACATGATGACAACGGAATAACAAACATCTATGATTTGATGATTTCTTTGCAAATATATTTTATTTTTGCAAGGTTTTGTAAGATTTAAAAGCTTTTTGAGAAAAAGGCGTATAAATTGCTAAAAGGAGGGCGCAAAGGCGCCGACGTGAACGAAGATAAGTTTGTTTTAAGTATTGATCCATTGTTTGCTTTATAACTGATCGTTGCGTATATTTTAAATGAAAAAAGACAGCATATAATTTCTGTGTATCTGTACTGATTGCCCTTTTTTACTATATTTAAATTTTTAAATAAAAAAGAAAGCAAAGTTATTTAAATCCAAGAATTTGTAGCTTTTTCGATAAAGACAGGTTATAATAGTTTTGTTTGTGGAAACACCGTATAAAATGGGACGAAGCAACCATTTTGGCGATTGATAGTCATAAGTTCTCTCGCAAAATGAGGGAGTCAATTGATATCGAGAAACACATTACAATAGATGGGGAGGGAAAGCCACTAGATAGTACGTGGCGTGCTCTCTTTAATGTGAAAAATTAATTTATCTTGTCTTGGATGCGCGTGCCTTAATTGGAATCACTTCACTACGTTTGAAATGACGGGTAGTTGATGTGCCGTTTAATTAAATTTCAAACGACGCGAGCCAACAGATCACGACACTTTTGTATATTAAAAGGGAGTGTGAATTAAACAAGTCACATATTATTAGCACTGGTGAAGATTCGGGCTTACGGATCGAAAGCTTTGCAGTAATAAATTTACGTGGTGTTTCCACAAACAAAACTATTATATGTTTTATCACCATGCAAACATACAAAGAACTTAAAGACAGTTTCGCTTTGGAAAGAACATTTTAAAACGTTTTCCGAAGCGTTTGTGGTTGAATTTTACCTTCAATTGAAGCTTGTATTACGTATAATAACATACCTAACATATATGTGTCTGGAAAATGGATCATTTTGTAATAAAAAGTGATATTTTTAATAAAATTATCGTATTATCATGACAAATACTTTAAATACTTCTTGTTCGGAAAATACTATGGTTTTTTCAGCAAAGTGCATGGGGTTTCTGCATGCATGTATTTTCTAGTTAAGAGTCTAAAACCTCTTTCGAACAATAGAATCGACTCCATCAATTTTATAAAAGAAAACATGTAAACGTTGATACTACCACAAAGTTCAGTCTGCAAACATTTGCAACCCAAATCGAGCCTTGGCAAAAATTGCGACTTGTATCTGTTGCAATTTGTAGTATTTATATGCCTGAATATAATTTGTGTGGAGTAGGCAACAAAATGAACAAATGGATTTCATTTGAAATGATAGATGACATGAAATTATCAAGAAGTACGGAGTGGTAGGCTAGATGATCAATGTGTCAGCAATATATCTTAACAAAATGGTTCATAATTATATTTGTTTAAAATAATTGTTTTTCCACTTTATTTCGTTACAAAATTTTGCGCCACAAACCTTTTGTTATTTTAATGAAACAATTCAATAAGAATATCCAAAGGAGAGGCCGTTAAAAATTGTTTGTTGGCCTTTATCTCGAAACACATTTTAATTAGAAATTGAATGTGCAATACCTGGTTGACTAATCATGCACATATCACAATGTTTTTCGAATGAACAGTAAACTATCTCATATTCATATTTTGGAAATTACACATAGATATACTGGGAAACGAGTCATTGAGTTTTCAACAGAATGTAAGTGGATGGTTGCCACAACAAGGTCGAGGAAACTGGAGTGTTTGCTGGCGAGCAACAAGAGATGGTTTTGATGTCAAAAATTTCCATTCTAGATGCGACTGGAAAAAGCCGACTTTGACACTAGTTAAAGTGGAAAATAATAAAACTAATTTAATATTCGGGGGATATGCAACCGAATCATGGGGTAAACACGGTAAGATTCCATATGCCATTTCTATAAGGTCAGCATATATAAATATATATATATATATATATATATATATATATATATATATATTCATTGATTCAAACAATAGTATGAACGTACTGAGTAGTTTGAAGATCGTGAAAACGTGAAACTCAGAGTTGCGACTTTATTAAATTTAATAAGTAGAAAGACAACAATTATATATATATATATATATATATATATATATATATATATATAATCATTGATTCAAACAATAGTATGAACGTACTGAGTAGTTTGAAGATCGTGAAAACGTGAAACTCAGAGTTGCGACTTTATTAAATTTAATAAGTAGAAAGACAACAATTATGTATATATATATATATATATATATATATATATATATATATATATATATATATATATATATATATAGCTTAAGATTTTGGTTTAAGAAACACAAACAGTGCTCAATACCATATAGATAGAGCGTAATATAGTTTTTCGTTTTACCTCAAAAAACCACAACAGTCTGTTTCATCCGTATAGGAATCATCAGGTGGTGAATAATTTCGAAATAGGAATATTCTTTAGTGAATAATCGAATCGAAATTGTCGCATATTTGAAGTAGAAATAAAATGAATAACGTAGACAAGAGTGCACAACACAATTACGCTCTATCTATATGGTATTGAGCACTGTTTGTGTTTCGTAAACCAAAA